TACGATAGGAGCCATGAAGTCAGCACACCAGGCTGGTTCAAAATTTAAACAATGAATTTTGAACTTTTAATGGTAGCACTGCATTGATAGATGGAATGACTGTAACAAGGTAGTAAGAAAAGGACTGTTTTCAACTGTTCAGGGCAAAATATGAGCATTTTGCAGTTGATTCTGAATTTTTATTTTTATTTGCAAATCAGAAAAAAATGAAGAGGCGAATCCGTTAACCAAGAAATTAAATTGGTGTGGCCTTATAAATATTTCAAGACTTACAGTATAACACAATACAGTACATACAATGTAACTTTAGCTATTGTTGTTGGATGGATAGCAGATCTTGAAGTGGACTTAGCCAAGAAGGCCAGCTATAAGCTGACTCAGGGTTACTTGTGACTTGCACTTGACAGTGAGAAGATCAAACTCAATCATCCTTTCTCCTAAGTCCTGAGAAGGCAGATTTCATGCCTGTGGGATATAAGAACATTCCAGAACAGCACTTCCCCAGTTGACCTGGCAACAGCACCAGACTGTTAGGCAGTGACATGTCGGGTTGGGCCGGAGCCAGGATGGTTCTATTGCTGGGCACTTTGACACTTCACACACAGGCTGGCACGCTACATTCCTGCACTGTCCTAGAGAAAGGGGGAGGGTCTACGGGCTAAACTGGGTTCAAGTGTCTTATACTAACAATGGCAATGGCATTGAACGTACGTACATATTCATGCCACACTTGGGCTAAATGCATTGAGTTAGATGACTAAAGTAGAAGAGTAGAAAGATGATAGCTTTACCTAGGAAAGATAGAACAGAGCGTTGAAGGTATATATAGCGTTCACGGATGAACCCAAGCTAGGAAAATGATGCTATATTCGATCTATTAATAATCTAGAATCTCTTCTTTCTTCTTGAAACATGCGTAGACAAATTTAAAGTGAGTCTTGTGTATATTGCAGAGAAGAACCTAGTACTGACAGGATAAAGACCTAAATGATGGATTGGGTGGCTGGAAGTAGTGAAAGTATTTCCCAGTTGGTAGTCTTGTCTCATGATTGCTTCAATATGATGTGTGTGAAATCTAGTTTTATAATATGATGCTCTTTATGTTCAGACAATGTTTCTGTTAGTAGTAACTGTTACAAGCCAGTTAGGAATCAAGTAGAGTACTTCTGTCCTCTTTTTGTGTTTGAATAGTGATAAGGACTAAAGGAGGAACAACATTTGACAAGATCAATTCATCATCAGCCATTAGAGAATAATCCTACCCCACTGGGGACAGTAATGTGATTTTATCGTTTTTTTTCTGCCACCATTTTCCCAGCAGTTCCCATATAGAAATTGAATATTGCCTGTGTTGTCACCAGGGAGTTTCCATTTTGTTCACGGAAGCCACCATTACGATAAAAATTGCCATAAGGATGTGGTTTAAGCACACCCCTGGGAGCTCTTCTGACAAATGGCATTTCCCAAATCGTACCTTTTTGTGCGTCATTTCTTAGCAGTGTGTTCATGGTAATTATAGAACTACCGGTACTTTTATTGTTAAGGAACTTAAGGGGATAGAAATATGTGTGAAGCCATTTTAGAATGGGACCTATAAAAGATGTACAGTTGAAACAAAATTTAATATATATAAAAATCTTGCACAGTATAGTGTACCAGCATGTCATGGCAATTTTATATCTCAGTATGTGCAAGCTATTTGTTTCTGTCATATATTTCATCTCATTCTATAGGCAGCCAATTATGTTGTCCAAATTGTACCTGGTGCTACTAAATTGTTTGTCTAAAGTGCCCTCCTGAAACCTTACACAACAGTCTGTCCAAGTGTCCATCCCTTTCCTCACCTCTCCCATCCCCACTCCTGCACCACTTTCCTAAATTGAAGAGACCCGAGCGTCGGACAAAGCGGTGTGATTACGTGAAAGCGATAATTGCCTCTCCAGCGCGGGTTTCAGGCAAATGGCCGTCGATCCGTCTTATTAGGGCATTACCCTCCATTAACACGTCCTCAGGAATCTGCATTAGCGGTAAGGCCATGTAGATTTCATTGTATGGATGACATCCGCGCGCGCATGAATTTTCGTCCATTTCCAAAAAAAGTTTTTGACCATACTGTAAATCGTACAAAATGAGCAAATGTATGTCATTTGTTTAAAAAAAAGTGTTGGAAAACAAAACTAATGTCATAGATAAAATGCCAAAAGTCAAATTCAGGAAAAGAAGAAAACGTGAAGAGATGAAAATGAAGAGTCTATTATTCGCCATACCATACTTGTGTGTTTAGCCATTTGTTCTACCTTTATCATTTATGACCACGTAGATTTCATAATGAAAGCAACTTTTTTTCTTTGCCAAACTTTTTTTTATTCGCATGCTCGCATCAGTTTTGGGGTTCCCAGAGGATGTCATCCATGTAATCAAATCAACATGGCCCTAGTGGTAAAGAGGGAAGGGGGCCGCGTGGGGCGTCGCCATGTCCGTAGGTTTTCCCGTATTTCGGTCGAGATGAGTTGGTTACTCTGGTGGTGTGATCACCTGGCCTCGCGATGGAAGCACGTCACGGTAGGGCCAAACTTGGAGTTAAACTTGAACTTGGAAGTTCTCTGTGATGTCATGTCCATTTGGGTTTTAAAAATTGACTTGTGGTAAACTACTGAGTCAGTGTATAATGTCAGTAGTACATGTATGTACGAAAGAAACATTGTAGCATGTTGATTTTGGAAAAGATTCACCCTTACAGTTCAAGTTGTCCAAGCACTACACATGTACGTGGTGCAAATATTACGTACTTGAACTTGTACCCTGTGATGTCACCTCCCTTTGGCGTAAAAAGTAGTAGATTTGACGATGACTTTGTGATATTTATTCAAAAGGGTATGACATAGTTTGCCGAAAGAAGCACTTCAGTCTTTCAAGTTGTTGAAATACAACGTGATATGGCTTAACTGATCTTAAACATTGACTGTCTGTGGTTCTAGTCAAGCACTTAGACTTGGCCTTTGACTACCTGTAGTCTTTTCCCTTTTTGTGTAGAATGTTATTGATTTTGACCTTGTGCAAGTTATGTAAAGCGTGTAGTGTGTAAAGCTGTATCACAAAATAACCCCTTGTGGGTCCATAAATTGCTTTATATTTTGGGAGAACTAAAAGAAAATTTTTGGCAGAGTTGGATATGGGTGACATGTTATTGTCAAGTTCTTTGTACAGTAGATAGTCTTTGTAAATGTGTCTAAAAATACTTACACATGACCTTGTAACTGTAAAAATGAATTGAATACCTGCTTGAATACCTGCTTGAATATTGAAATATTGAAACTCCTGGACGACTATAGTTTACCAATAAGACAGTTCAGATTCCGTCTATGAAAATTGATCCTATGTTGTAGTTCCTATTATTGAGTCTTTGCACAGATTTTAGTCTTTGAAAATGTTTTTTCATGAACTGTAAAAATGTCCAGGAATGGCTACCAGCTTGAATGTTGAAATATTGAAACTCCTAGATAGTGTAAGACTATATTTTACCAATAAGACAGTTCAGATTCTGTCTATGAGAATTGATCCCGTGTTGTGACGAGGCCCATGAGGGCTGACAGTCCATATGGCATGTGGATGCCGGGCTGACTGTTTACAATACGCTCTGCCATAAAACACATGCCGGCGTCACGCTTAACGAGGTTTGCTGCCTCGTTAATCGGCAAGCCTTTGTTCTATTACACGGGGGATTTTTCCATATGTTCCAAGACTCAGTATCTCTTGTAGTGTGGGTCCCTCTCATGATCATAATTCAGTTTACACCACTGTTAGAAAATGTGGTTTTTCACAAAATACCAACTGCAGTTTGCATTAAAAAATGTTGTCAATGAGATGACAGAAAAGGCGCTTTGATAATTTGCAGTTTGGCTAGCTACAAGAATAGTGAATACAGAAATACATGTAGGTTTTATATTTAGAAATCAAAATATTGTATGTAACAGGAAATAAACTATTTCGAGCCCTAGGTTGCTTTTTTATTTCAGTAAAATCAAAGCTTGGTGTGTTGCATGATAATCTTCGAATGAATAATCATTTTGGGGGTGAATAATTAGCCAAATTTTGGCTATAAATAATTAGTCTAATTTTGGAGACGTTTGATGAATATTTTACGGCCTGTCCCAGAGAGATCTGTTGACAAAACAAAACATATTGTTCAATTTGCCTGCAGCCATCTGCAATATCACAATCATGATGCGTGCACAATAAAGACAATCAATCAGATTGTTCCAACTGATTCATAAATATTTAATTGTTAATTGAAAATCTGTTTTGTTGTTTACATTATTAGTATGAGGCACTCTTCCTCCCATTTTGCTACACTCATGATATTTCACTGGTTGTGAAAGAATCTGCTAAATTATTGATATTCAGAAATAAGATATTTCTACGAGTCTAGATATTAAAGCTGATAATAGTCCACAGCCTTGGTTGAAAAGTTTCTTTGGCATCTAAGTGATAGAAAAGTAATAAAATCTTGGTAATTTAAAAGTTAGCTCCCATTTCATTTTCAAGCTCATTTTCAAGCTCAGAAGAGGAGCAGTAAGATCTGTAATTTAACTTAGGTTTTGTTTCATATGGTGCACCCAAAATATTTTTTGTGCACCTATTCTCAAAATTGAATTTCGAGCCCTGTACTAACAGTTGTTCCCTGTACAGCAGGTGTGAAAAGGTGGGGGGCTGTAGGAAGTCAGTAAGGTGGTTATCATAACCAGTGATTAACAGGTGTCACAGATGTCTTTGGCAGGTGTCACTTGTACCAATGTCTGATAGGGTCCCCTTGTTGTTATATCTGTTCAGTGATTGACAGGTGTCATGTACAAGTGACTCCCAGGTGGCCCCTGTTGTACCAGTGGCTGACAGGTGTCACATTTGTGATTGACAGCTGTTACTTGTACCAGTGATGAACAGGTGTCACTTGATACGACAGTGATTGACAGGTTGATTGACATGTGTCGGTTGTGTTCCAGGTGAATGTACGAGTGACGACGATGGACGCTGAGCTGGAGTTTGCCATCCAGACAAACACCACCGGCAAACAGCTCTTCGACCAGGTGAGTTTCTTTCTATTTAAAATTAGATGTTAGAACTACTCAAACCTGAGCAGGTGAGACTACAATATTCTCCTAAGTTTCCTTATAAATGTAATTTTTGATGATGTGAATCCACACACTTTGCTGTCCAGCATGTCATCAGAATATACTGTGCCTATGCGAAACCTGTCATGTAGGTATTGTCAGCAACTTGAAAATTCTCATGCAATGCTGACCGAACATCCAACGCAGTCTGTGAAAAATCTGGGTTTCGCGCAGGTACAGTATGTTCTACCAACATGTTACACACTCGGTCCCTCCAAGACTTGAGCACACCATCACACCGAAATACCTGTATGTGTGTCCCTCAGTACCAGTTTTAAGTGTCTAGTTCCTGATAGCATGCTATTATATGGGTTAAATGGCCATTTTGTCCTACATATTAACATAAGCACACCATTACTGACTCTAAAACCTATTCACAGTCCGGCACCCCATGGGGTCAGTCGTTCCAATAACCTGATTGATACAGCGAACAATACGATCAATAACCTACAAACACCTGACGACATGAAGATCTTGTCTGAGTCAGCATTATTCACACCCCCTGACCTGACCCAGTTTACAATCACTACCGACATTTCTCACCTGTAAGTCATGCTTGACTCCGAAATTCGATTTACGCTCGATCGGGCTACACCAATTGGATTCGTTGCTGGGAAGCCAATAGCGTTCTTCAATGAAAGAATTGAAAGATCCACATAAAAACATTGTCTGAGGGGAAAGTCTGTACCTTGCTACACAAACCTCACGATTGACTCATAAGAATTAAGATACAAATTTAGGCTTGATCTGGCCATACCAATTCAATTCCTCGAGTGTTAATTCTAAATTCTCCAAGAAAATAATGCTGAACTAGAAAGGTAACATTTGCAAGGCAAATGCATAATGTTTACTTTCGCATATGGTCAGACAGGAGTCTAAATCCTTCCTGCTATAAGTATAAAACTTTAACATGATGTAACCCAACACTATAGTTACCATAGTAACATACAAAACAGTGGTTCAGGTCATTGAGGTCACTGTTCGGAGAAGAAGAGGAAGAAGAATTAGTGATCAAAAACAATATGTTTTCCTTCAGTAAACATAGTATTAACCTCCATGACATTTCATGCAGGTAATCAGAAGATCAACATGAAAACAGAGTCTTAGGGGAAAGTTTGTACCTTGTTACAAACAGTTTTTGGGAGTGAATATACATTTTGTACAATCATCATGTAGTCAGATTTCCTGCGAGCACTTACACAATTTTACTGTACAATGTCTGAGACCCCAAGAAATGGCCTACAAAGTGGCCTTTAACCCAACCCATGGCCTTGTGTCTAAATAAAAGCTTTTCTCCAATCTCAACAAAGGTTCATGGCCCTGTAAAACAGGAGAAGGGTCGAGGCAAATATTTACCTTCGCCAAGAAGGTTATGTTTTCAGGGGCGTTCGTGTATGTGTGTGTGTGTGTGTGTGTCTGTCTGTCTGTCTGTCTGTCTGTCAACACGATAACTAGAGAAGGTCTTGATGGATTGTCTTGATACTTGGTAGGTGGGTAGGTCTTGATGAGACCTCAAAATGATTAGATTTTGGGCCACCTGGCGGCTTGTCATGGTACTGCAGCAGAACTTCCGGTTTTGATATCTCATGATCCAGACATGCTAGGGTGACGAAATTTAGATGGTAGATAGCTCTTGTGCTGGGGATAAAGTGACATGAGTTTGAGCCCCCTAGTTGCTTGCTCTAGAACTGCAGGGGGGTTTAATGGACAAATGTTTAAAGGGGGATAACTCAAGAACCGATGGATGGATCATCGTGATTTTTTGGTATGTAGGTAGCTTGAGTGATGCTTGACATAATGATATTACAATTATGCAAATATAGATGTAATTTGCATAATTAATGAGGAAATTCTATTTATCAGGTGCATTCCATAATAGGAAGTTCAAGCTTGTGACATATGTTATTAAGAATGAGAGAAACACAGGCAGATATCAATTATGCAAATGAAGACTTAATTTGCATAATTAATGAGAAAATATTATAATTGCATAGTGGTAACTGCCTGGAATTTTATACTTGGGGTGTTTGAAAGTTAAGTTAAGGTGAACATAACTTAATATTCAAATAAGGACCTCATTTGCATAATTTATGAGAAAATTTCATCATGGCATTCTTTGTTAAGATAAGACTGTCTTTTGGTGGAGAATATGATCAACAGATATAATTCATGCAATTGAGGATCCTATTTGCATAATTAGGGGGATTAATATATAATTTCTTAATCATAAAAGCTAACATCATTTGGCGAAGGTATGAGATCGTGGAACTCTAGTTTATTGTATATTATCAGAATCCCCAGTCCTGGCCTCTGAATTGTAGTTTACCATTACATGTCATTACAGATGATTGTTGGGCAATTCACAGGACACATTTACCTACTGTCACCTGCTGTGCATAACAGTAGAACTGCAGGGCTCGAAATTAACATTGTCCCAGTGTCAAATGACACTAAATTTTCAGCTTGGGACAATTCAAATTACGTTTCGGGACAATTTCGGGGCAATTTGAACATTCTGAGACCTTTCACGAAATTTGGGAACGTGATCCATCCATCCTGCTGCTGGCAGCCCATAATACTCTAACAAACATTTAAATTTGACCAATCAAGGATTCCAAATACCGGTGAGGGGGGCCTTAAAGATGGTGCCGTGCCCATGATATTATCATGTATTTCCCTACGTTTACTTATAAAGTGGACTTCAAGTTGTACAAATTCAGTTGTTGTTGTTTTCTTATTGTTGTCCTTAACTTATTTCCTGAAAAGCAGGCTGGGACAGTCCATCTTCAGTTCGGGACAATTGAAATCTATATTCGGGACAATTCTGGGACAGTAGTAAAAAAAGTTAATTTCGAGGCCTGGAACTGGCCTGAACAATACAACCAAATTATTGTCTTGTTGTATATTTAAGATTGTTATACTGTAGTCTATGCATGCAGGGCTCGAAATCCTTTTTTCAGGTACACGCAAAATTGCGCATCGGCAAAAATTTTAGTCAAGACAAGGATGATGCAAATTAGTTCAAGAAGCTCCTGTTGTTTCATAAGTGTTGTCTGTCCTTGGGACTGTTATTTTGCTTCTTTGCCTGCAACACCCCCCTCCCATTCCTGGTCTAGGTGCAAAATCGCACATTCAAAATATTTTTAAGTGCAAATCTTGAAAATCATGTGCATTTTGCACATTGCACATGGGTATTTCGAGCCCTGCTATGGGATCTCATTCTCAGCAAACTAACTACATCCGGCCTATATGTATATTTGTTGCTCTAAAATTCCTAAATACTCAAAAGATTACTTTTTTTATTGTGTTATTGTTGTATAATGTATATTCATGATTGTTATACTGTAGTCTATGGGATCTCATTCTCAGCAAACTACATCTGACCTACATGTATATTTATTGGTCTAAAATTCTCAAATACTCAAAAGATGACATACTTAGAAGCCAAGTCACGATAGTAGGAAGCTGAAATATAGTTAAAAGCCGAAATACTGAAGTTAATGGTCATAGTGACCTGCCCTTTTTATTCTGCGACCAAAATGAAATGCAGCATTTCTAAATGATCCATACAAACATCATCCAGGCACATTCAGGTGTAATATAAAAGTCAGACTGATACAATCACCTGTACCATTTGTAATTTTAAGTCAGGCTCTCCCAAGTACCATTAGACCAGGGATTACATGTGGATGGATTCTCCTATAAATTTGTTCCTGGGCCAAGCCAATTTGTACGCTGTGTTCTCCGACATTCAGTCAGTGAATTATTAAACTAAAGAAGACAAGTTAGGACAGATCTAGAGGAAAATGTGAATATAACTTACGGCCTAAAACTGCGTGCACAAAATAATATCACTCACACACTCACTGTCCGGTTTATGCAAAAAAAAAAGGTTAATCAACTGGATAATGATTTTCGAAACAGACGTTTCAGGTAGCATCAACTACTTTTCGTCAGTGACACTGGTCCGACGGTCTTACCATTTCCAAAATCATATCCAGTTACTTGAGCAACTGTTTTTTGGCATAACTCAATATTACCTGGATGTGTAACCTTCACTGAGGTGTGTATACATAGGTACATACTTGTCCTTTTCATTGTTTCTTTTGTTCATATTGATGTTCCACCAGTGAAAGATGTTCGACAGTTCAGAAAATGAGTTTGGTAGTATGGCCTTGTGTTGGCCAGCCCAAATTGCGAGTGGTTTTGTTGTAATGTACGTTCTGTAGTTTGTGGCTCTCCCTGGATCGATGCGTGGGCCACTGTGAGATTTGTAGCTACTCTTACAGCTAAAGGAGACAGATTTGTTACTTTACAGCCTTCAGCCTTCCTGTATTATAGAGCTGCATGTTGGACATGCATCACGCTAAATTGTTACTGTTCGCTTAGACGGGAAGCTACGCAAATGTCAAGGTTTGAAATGACAGAGACAGCAAGGCAGTTCTGGGTAAAGATTGTGTGACAGGCTGAATATTATGCAGCTCCAGATGTCTTACTGAGGGACGACTGCGTATGCGAGATGTCGGTTAGCTTGAGGAATGAATCTCCTCGAATTCACATTGCAGTTCTGGGTAAAGATTGGTAAGGGATAGAATGCACTTTTGTGACCCAAATTGGAGCTGTGCACCTGATTTTTGACTGTGGATGCACCTAGATGCTTGTGTTGGGTTGGGCACACAATTATGCAGTGTATTCTTCACTCGAAATGTAAGAAGAAAATGTTAAAACTATAATGATTTAGAAAGAAAAAACACTGAGAAAATCTCCCATGTAGTTTCTTCTTCACTTGACAGTCACTGGTGCACAAGATTGGGTCTAAATGTTGGTTTATAAATGTGTGTTTTAGAAAATAAACAGGTTTGTTCACGTCGGCTCTTCAAAAGTCGGCATTTGACCCGTCAGCTCACCTCTACACGTTGCCAGACACTGTCACATACCTCTGGGCTCATTTAAACTAATTGCTGGACTAGTTTCTTCTCTTGTGAGATTGGTTAACACTAATGACTATGAATGTGTGGTTTGTTTGTTTGCGCATGTTGTGTCCCCATTGTGGAAGTTTTGTTAATGACAGTTGCAGAATGATTTCACAAACAAAAGGCTGGGCCTGAATGAGTTCTGTTCTGTGATGAATGGCGGCCATGTTGTCCCACAGTCAGATGACCTGACCTTGACACCCAGGATGTACCATTATAGACGCAGGAGACACAGCATGGAAATTTAAGAGTTTTGTATCAAAACAGTTGAACCTGCCCAAAAAAAACACTGAGTTCAGGTCTATGTGGAAAGGTGATCAGTATAGAATCCTCATTACTGGGAAAGATTTTAAGGATCTAGGTCAACCAAAAAGTACTTAGTCAGGTGGTTATAACTTATGTAGAGGTGGTTGTACAGGTTTGACTGTAACTTAGTCTTGTTTTATTTTATACATGGTGAAAAATCACTCATTGCGTCTGAAAGAAAGACTCAAATCTATCCTTGTTCATATAAAACCCACCTGCATACCGACAATTATATTTTTAATGAAAGCAGATTTTATTTTATGTTCTTTTCCATCTTTTTTTTTTAAGCAGGATAACCTACTCAGTGGTAACACTGCTTTTTAGTTGGACCCTGCAATTATACAATCATACATAAACAGGCGAAATACATAACGTCACATACAAACAATAAAATGTGACCTTAGCTGACTTGAGCCAATACAAATTCAGCACACGATGAAGCCCATACATTGAACCAGAGGGACAGTAAAAGTACCAACAGTTTTCCCTGTATCGTAGGAAAGGTCCCGACTGTACAGTTGGATGTGATTAATCCCATTTCTGGCAATGCAGCCGAAGGTCGGACTGTAAATAGGCTGCGGAAATGTGGGTAATGAAATTGTACTGGGCAGACTGTGGACATGGGCCAGACCAAGTTAGTTTGTGGGTCCTTAGATTAAAAGAAATAGTTTGCTGAATTGGAAGGTCCATGGAAAAACAGTGTCTGGGAGGAAAATGAATGAGTGAGTGAATGAATGAATGAATGAATGAATGAATGAGGTTTTGGCGTATCGTATTACCTGGATGTACCTTCATCGACGAATGAATGAATGAATGTAGAAGTAGATTTCATGGCATAATTATTACAGACTGAAAGTCTCATAAAAGAAAAACATTGTCAAATTCAAGTTTTTCCTGCCAGCCCTCTGCTTTCATTGATCTTTTGCCAAGTTTCATTTTCAACTGTGTGAGAAACAGTTTTCTTCCCAGCCATATTGTGTGTTTTTGTTGTTTACTCCTCATACACACCTGTGTATGCCTCAATGAACGCTTTTGTCCTTCTTTTATTTTCGATAAGTAAAGAACGCTACAATGTTGACAGTTCCATGTTTACAGTGTGTATACATGTTATTAGAAGCAATTGCTGATATCTGGTGGGTCATGCTAACATGCAGTGGTCGAAATACTTTTTTTCAGTGCTCTGCAATATTGCAGAAGAGTCAAAATTTTGTTCTGCAATTTGAAAATACTTTCTGCAAATACACAAGCCTCCATACTACAACCTTCTCAAACCATTAATGTCTTTTTTACATCATATATAGCTTTGTAAATCTGTAGCATTACTGGAATTCTTTTAAGTTTAATCTATCACTCTTTTTAATTTCAAACTTTATAGATCCTTCTCCACAGGAAATTTATCATTTACTGGTATCTTCACGGGTCTTTCACCGCTGTCTCCCACTACAAGCTACTACAACTAAAATCATACCTTAACTGTAAATGTACTAGTAATCACATCCACATATCATCCTTCCACACAACTAATAAAAGACAAAAAAAACAGTACTTGAGTCTTAAGTAACTCGACATGATTTTGGTGCTACCTGAAATGGTCAGACACCTACCTTTCGTCAGTGACACTAAGAGAATTGCAGGTTTATAAGCACAAACTATTGATTCATATGCAAATTAGTGAAGACAAATTTTTGGAAGTCCAAAGGGAAACAAAAGATAGACAAGTCAAGACAAGGATGATGTAAAAAAGTGAAGAAGCTCCTGCTGCTTCAAAACAGGAGCTTAAGTGTTGTCTCTCCTTGGGGTCAGAGAGTTCTAGTTTGCTAAATTGAAAACTATTGAATCTGGAGCCTATTTTTCCTTCTGCAAAATTGCAGATTGTATAAATTTTTCTTCTGCAATCTTGAAAAACTATCTGCAGATTGCAGACTGCAGACAGGTATTTCGAACACTGCATGGTTCAATGTTTACTTACCAAGAGAATCTTTCGTTTAGCTCAAGGTTAAGTTGAAAAACACCTTTGTTTAGTGTTCCTTATAGGAACACAATTAAAATTCCCCATGCGATTCCGCGCATTTTTGTTCAACACCGTTTCCTGATAGGGATCTATTCCACTACACCTGGAATACTTAGAATAACTTCCCACCACACCTTTTCTCTGAACTAGAGTTACGTTCACACACTATATGACTTCTTCTTGAAAACCTCTTTTTGATCTGTTTTGTGTACATGTCATGGTTTGGTACCTGCATAAGTTAAAGTTTAACAGGTGAATGGATAGGAGAGGAACAGTGTAATTGTTTAAAGTGACTGGCCCTCCGGCAAGTTCTGGTCTATAGAAGCTTGCTGTTGACACCCCCGAGTACACACACACACACACACACACACACACACACACACACATACAGTTTTTGGAAGCAGTGCTTTGCTATCCTTTCCTTGATGATACAATGATGAAATTTTAGAATACGTCAAGCACTAAGTCAGAATTATATTCAAAAGTCAAGTCACAGTACCTACAATAGACAGTCCCTATTTTCTTTTAAAAAGCAAGAAAAAGTTAAATTACCTTTCTTACATACATTGTACAATGTTTGTTTGTTTGTACATGATAACACAAATCGCATTGTCACCCTGAACTGTTTATTTACATGATTGTACTATTATACTATTTTAGATTATTATTTATTTTACAAATGTAAAAATGATAGCACAAATGCAGACCACATTATCACCCTGAAATATTTATTTATAATATTATGTTATGTTAAACATTTGCTTATTGTACAAATGTGAAAAGAAGAACAATGTTGTGGTTGACATAATGTTTCGCCGGATTGGGTGTATTTGTCCTGTGCAGGTTGCAGTAACTCAGATCCATTCAAAAATCAAATCACAGTACTTAAATGTACATGTATGACTGTGATCCCAATAAAAAAACAAGAAAAAATTTAATTACTTTCCTTATTTAATTATTAATTAATATTAATTACATATACATGTATCATACACATTAAATGCTTATCTATCTTATTTAATTATTAATTAATATTAATTACATATACATGTATCATACACATTAAATGCTTATCAAGTTATCACATTGTCATCCTGAAATAATTTTTACATGTTTAAACGTTAGCTTATTGTACAAAATGTAAGAATAAGAACATGGTTGACGTGATGTGTGTTTGTCCTATGCAGGTTGTGAAGACCATCGGTCTGCGAGAGATCTGGTTCTTTGGTCTGCAGTACGTGGACAGTAAGGGCTACAGCACCTGGCTCAAGCTCAACAAAAAGGTCAGACAATGTACACAAATTACAGGCTTGCACACAGTTACATTATATCCTGAAACACAAGTTACAGTCATGCACACAGCTACAGTATATCCTGTTATACACAAGTTACAGGCTTCTGTATCCTGTATAAGTATAGATGGTATAGATGGTAATACCGCCCTTTGGCGTAACACACCAGCTTCAACTACACACAACTTACACACAACTACAGTATATCCTGAAACAGAGTTACAGTCTTGCACAGAACTATTACTAATAGTATATACTGATATACAGGAAAACAGTTACTCAAGCAACTGGATAGAAAACTGTCAGACGTTTCAGTAGACGTTTTAGTGTAAAACAGCAGTTCTCTCACTCACTCACTCATTCATTCACTTTTATCTCTGACTTGTTTAACATCTAAAGGGGATTAGACATGCTTGCACATTGATGCTGAGGCTTGATGGCAGCCCAACATTTGCCTCTTTCCTGTGGGTTCACACTGTGTAAGTTGAGGACCTGGTGGGAAAAATCCTCATCTTTTCGATCCATCTCTTCCTTGGTCGACCTTGTGTGATGATCTCGGTCGCAAAATATTTCCTCAAATTAAAACACCCCTCAGCCACCCTCGTCAGCCAAGCTCATAGATCATGATCGTTGTTTAATCAAGCAGAGAGGTGCTCGTTATGGCAGGTGTCAAACAGGTGGGTGGAGGGGTAACGACCTGTGTACTGTCGTTAGACCTGGTTACCAGGTGGAGACGTGTGGATGATTGAGTTGCAGGGGTCTCCCCAGAAATTCTTAGGGGAGAGGTGCTCCCTAATCGGTTAATGAAAATACTAAGGAAAAAATCTTGAAATTTGGGAGAGGTGCTAGCTATAGGATTTTTGGGAGAGGGTAGCACCGTTGCTCAATTGCTTGGGGAGAGCCCTGGGTTTGGCACAGTTTCTTAGTCTATCTTCAAGGAGAAAATCATGAAGATACACTCTATTGAGTTATCCAGTCACACACTAACCAACCACAAGCTGTACATTTGTACTTTAAAAGGAATATGCTAAGGAACCAAGTAAAAAAACTAAAACACACACACATTGGCACAGTTTTACAACTAAGTCTCCACATGTAGCTGTTCTAGTGGTGGTACTCGTTAAAACCAGTCCTGGTTAATTGTATGTTTTTCATGAGAAAACACAAAATGTGATGAAGTTGTTTCATCTGAAGGGTTGTTAAAACCAGAAGCTGTGATATGGTGTTGGAGGTAATTTGTTCAGGAAGTATAAAACGTGAAATACGGCTATGAGGTATATGGTTGATCCTCAGGCCTCTCCGATCCTGGGCACTTGTAGCCTCTTTGAAATCTAGCCTCCATAGCAGGCTTATAGAACTGGGGGTTTGGAGGTCTTTTTTTGGCTGTTTTCTGATCAGCCCAGTAATTCAATAAGGCCGGCTATGTTGTCTATATGCAATCAGAAATGAGCACATAAAAGCTCCCAAAGACCCTGAAGACCCCCAAAACCCCCAGTTTTTGGTATTCTATGGAGGCTATTTGAAATCAGCCTTTTCAAATTTCTTGTAGAATCCTAGATGCAGTTATAATCTCTATTGTGTAGCAGATTCATTATCAGAGTTGCAATTAGCATTTACCACTCTAAAAAAAGCTAAATTTAATGTGAATGCTCCAGGATTAAGTTATTCAGAAGACAACTTTATGTACTATTAGCATGATATAAATTTAATAACATACTAGATGAATGATAGCATTCATTAGCAGTAAGGCTCCAGTTATTGAAAGCTATACTTCTTAATCATTAATGTTCTGTCTTGTAAGTTGTATCTTCTAAAGAAGAATTAGTGATATTTCGTAATACCATTAAATATGAACAGTAAATTCATAGTAGCAGACTTGTGAGATATATTCTGGCATTATTCAATCCTTCTTGTGATACTGTAAGAATATGTCACCATCAAAACCTTGTCAGGACAAGCTATACTAGGTTAGTTCTGACTAACCCTGGGATGTTCATGAACCTCGGTTTAACCCCCTTCATTAAGACTCATTTCCAATGATTTCAGAAACTTAAAGAAGAATGCTTGTGCTATTTTGTGATACCATAAAATATGAACAGTAAATTAGCAGACTTGTGAGATTTATGCTGTATAAATGTCACCATTAAAAACCTTGTCGGGACAAGTTACATGCATATGGGTAAGTTCTGTCTAGTCTAGGAGGTTCACAGGTTTCACCCCGTGATTAAGACTCATATCCAATGACGTCAGCAGTTTGCTGATGAAGACTGGGGTTCACCAAGTTCAGGAGCAGACAGGCAGAAAATTGCGTGGATGCGGTGATGGCTGGAACCATGTTAGAACTGCCGGTAATTATCTACTCTGTGGAGCAGAACTGCTAACGTCTGCTCTTCTCTCAGTTACAAACCGCAGGGCTCGAAATTAAGCTTTTCTGTGTACATACACTGGTGCGGGTAACTGTGGAAATCCACCTGCACCAGACAGTTTTACTTGATCGTTTTATACTAAAAGTGGATTGTAAGATTTTTAGAGTGTAGATAACCTAGAAAGTGTTAAGAAACAATCATAATTATTTGGCATTTTGTAGAAGTGAAAACAGCACAGAATACAAAAATCCACAGCTTACACTAGTCTTACACCTACCCAATACAGGAATGGTGCAGGTAAAAAAAAATTATAAGGTGCAGGTAGACATCAGAAATATCTGCACAGCTCCAGTTTTACCTGCAGTAAACTGGATAATATTATGCAGCTCAGGGGTATTTTGAGCCACGTACACACTCACACGTTTAGTGTCTGAACCTTTCCTCCTTATAATGTCTCCTGAGTACACAGGACGGTTAGATGCGCACTTTTAATCCAGATAGTCCCGATCATTATCTGTAAACGTTATGACTCTGTTTGCAAACATAAGTGACCTGTTCTCAGCAGCAGTTAAAGTTTGATGACGGCGCCGGGATTTTATTAAAAATTGATCCTGGTAATAAGGAACTGTTGCCAGCTGCTCACTGCAGTTCTTGGCAGTGAATCAAACATGGTAGATTAAAAATTGTTCCAGAAACTTCCATTTACTACGGTGTAAATGTTAATGAGTTAAATAAAGAACTATATAAAAAAAATTGCATCAAAAAGGATAATCTTATTCAATGGATATCGTTTCAGGCAATTGAATAATGAATTTTTGTTAGTACAGTTTTGAAGTCTTTCTAGATGCTCCCTTAAAGTATAATGTCAGTTTCTACATTGTCACAAATTTGGAAATCTTCTGTTAGTTGAGAATATCTAAACTAATTAGAATCATTACAGGTAAAGTTGTGTATTTAAAAACTTGGAAGTTGGAGGAAAACTTGCTCATTGATTTGACAATGTCATGTAGATAATATATCTATTCAGCAGTGATGGGATGCAAAATATGATCCTTTGAGTTTAGTAGATTTTCTAAATTCCCAGTATTTCTCCAGATGAAATTGACTCTGTAGGTAAGATTGTTGTAAAGTGTTCCTGTACATGTAGCTGTTTTCACCATGCTTGGGTTACAAATCCTTGAACTATGCAGCATATTCCACATTAAAACATGTTTGGTGTTTACGTTGGTTACATATCTGCTTTAATGTAAAACTAAAGCTTGTATCTAGAGTTACAAATCTGCTTGCCTGCAGTTACAAATCTGCGCTTGCCTGGCCATTCTGACGTTACAGGTTTTATAGAGGGCCATTAAAGGTCAGATCAAGTCATTGCTTGGTTGGTCGATATTTGACCGTGAAGAACACAATTTGCAAGAAGTCAAGATGAAAAAAGAAGAGGTGGGAAGAGAACTTGACGTTACAACTTATATGGAGACTTTATAGAGGGCCATTAACAGCTAGATCAAGGCATTCCTTGGGTGTTGGACATTTTAGGGGAAAAATTTTGCAAGAGGTAAAAAATGAAAATAGAGATAAGAAGAAAACTTAAGATTTGGACGAATTCTTTGTGGAACTCTGTGTATATAGCTGAAAGCATAGGTATTCCGTTGAAGTTTATCTTCCAGTTTAGTGTTATTATTTTAAAGATCGAGATTTTGAGCACACTATTCTTTCTGGAATTCACATAATAGTACATGTACATTCTAATAGTCAATACAATACAATCACTAGTCTTACATAATGCTAACAATGTCACACAACATAATCACAACACAACTAGAGGTCGGAGATCTCATGTCTTCGTCAGAGGTACATCGTTCTAGAGAAATTAACATGCGTATTCTTCACTCTTTTTAATAATCAATTTGGTCTAAAGAACAAAAGAATCTCTGTACTATTTTTATGGTACAGAACACCCTGAAACGGTTTGCCACAGATTATACAGATGCGTCGTCACCCGTGTTAGCCCCCCCCCTAACGTTATTTGAGTTTGGACTGTTACTGGAAAAAAAACGTTCAAGAAATTCTTACTGTGTTGAAAGTGTCACGACAGCGCCGCAAAATATAATAAGAGAAGATGTTATAAAGGAAAGAATCAGAACAGGGTGACTACTGCTGTTTTGTTAATTTGTCTTTATGACAAATAGAAGACTTGTTTCTTGTGTTCTTTGTGTCCTAACATTTGTACTTCTACAGTTAGTATATTCCAAATCTAGGCATCTCGTTTTTCGGCCATTCGTGTTTTTATTGCGCGCTTGCCTTAAATTTAAGGTAATTAGATTTAAGGTCTCCAGTGGACGTCATCCATAGCAATTACTTGGTGTGGCCGTAGAAAATAATCTGACATATGTCCAACCTATCCTCCCCCTGCTGAAGTTATAGTACAATCCCTCAATGTAACGTCATTTGATCCCATCCCATTATGGGGTTCCCCGGCGGTAACGGCTATATCCAGCTGTCGGCTGTCTCCAAGCAGATGTAGGTGGGGGATTTCTAAACACAAAAGGTCCTATTACGGGGACATAACGATCTCCACGACTCTCATCTTTGAACTCAATCTTGGAGATCACCACAGTAACATGCCTA